TTATTAAATTATAAAATAAAAATTATTAAATACGAAAAAAAGCCTATTTTATTAATTAGTTAAAATTATACAAACTTAAAACATTCTTAAGTGTAAAATACTTTTTCTTCCATTAAATTTTGGTTTAATACCCAATTTGGTCCCTAAACTTTCATTTCGAAACTTAGTTCATCCTTTAACTTCAGAAGGGATCCAAACCATCCTTAAACTTTATTTTCTTAGAACCCAAATGGTCCTTTCGTCACAGAAGTGCCTAGCTGGAACGTTAACGTGCCAAGAATTAATACTTTTATTTCAAAAAAATTACGTGGAAAAGAAAATAATGATTTAATCATTTTAATAAATTTAATAGAAAAAATATACAATTAAAATATTAACCCTCCCCTTATCTTTAACCCCCATCCCTCCCTGCCATTTTTGTTATTTCCCTATTCTCCAACACCGACATCAACACCAATCCAGCGGCATCATTCTTTCCCTTTCTCATTTTTCTCTCTACTCTCCACCCTCCTCTTTCCTCCTTCTTCATTTCCCTTTTCTTTCCCTTTTTTTTTTTCTTTTTCTTTTTCCTTTTCTTTTCTAGTTGGGGTTTAGAACCCATATTGGGATTGGGGTGAAGAAGATAAGAGAAAATGCTGAGAACAACACTCCCAGTTGCACCGTCTTTTTCTTCGACGCATTGTCTTTCAGTTTGCAAACCTTCAATGCGGTCGCCGTCTCCGAACTTCTCTTATGTTATCATCAATGGCGACGATACCACTGCCTCCAACAGTAACAATCCTTCTCGAAGACTCACTCTCTTTCAACTTGGCACCGGTCAACGATTTTTTTGTGGCTTTATATACTTAAATCCTTTGATAGAAAAGTAGATTTTGTTTTTTACTTGAGGATTGCGATGGAAATTTGTGTTTGGTTGCTAAAAAACTGTGGAAACTAGAAAGGAAAACGATCTTATTAGTAGTATGCCCTAGGTTGGCTTAATTCCTCAATATTTTTGCTGCATTTTTGTTTGAAGTTGTGTGGAGCTAATGCAGCGAAAATGGAGTCGAATCGGCGTTTCTATCGACTGAGATCTTAGCCGATTTTAGCCTTTTTTGTCCCTTTACAATGAGTATAGCAGCTTGCAAAGGAGTTATTCTCTTGATTTGGTTGAATCCCCAACTTATAAAACCAAACGATTCTAGAACTCATTTATGTAATTATTTTATGCGGATGCCGGATTCGGCTTTAAACGATCTTAACGAAGATATTTGCGGCGAAGAAAGAGGCGCGCAGCCGAGACTCGAGCAGACGGATCGTTGATAAAAGCATGATCGTTCTTCGGAAGAGGATTCATGAGATGAAGATGATCGAGAGGAACTACGAGCTGCCTGAGGACTGGATGGATTGGGACTTAGGAGAAACGTGTCTATACGAGCTACGATTCGATGATTTGCGAGATCATGGGAGTGTTGTAGTCCCAGTTGATGAACACTCGCCCCAGTGTCACGTTGGGGATGATGGTCCTGATTGCGCTCAGCTTGCCGATCTCTACCACCGTGGTTTTCTTTCAATTGACGGAGATGGCTAAGGGGATTTTGGCTGCCGGCATTGATGCTGTATTTTGAGAAATTGAAATTACAAAATCATCATTTTTTTTCCACGTAATTTTTCTAAAATAAAAGTATTAATTCGTGGCAAGTTAACGGGCCAGCTGGGCACTTCTGTGACGGAAGGACCTTTTGGGTTCTAAAAAAATAAAGTTTAAGGATGGTTTGGGTCCCTTTTGAAGTTAAAGGATGAACTAAGTTTCGAAATGAAAGTTTAGGGACCAAATTGGGTATTAAACCTTAAATTTTTATAGAGTAGAATTAAAAGTATAAGAGATTCGTCAATTCTAGTGAGGTGGCCAAATCTACGCCTCATTTTTCTGTCTTCAAATCTCACTCTTCCAACAGCCACTGCCCTACAAATCTGAACCCTTTCTTTTTTTCCTTTTTTTTTGGTTTTCCGATTACAATGACGAACAGAGTTTTCCCCTCCACCAAACCTACCAACACCGCCGCCGCCGCCATGAATGGTGCCGGAACCACGATTGCAACCACCAACGGTGGACCCACCAAGTCCAATCTCTATAATCCCCGCTCTCGGCCTCCCTACCACCCTCCTCCCTACAACCGTCGCCACCACTACCGCTTCCAACGCAACCTTTGCTGTCAATGTTGCTTTTGGTCCATTCTTATTCTCCTCATCCTTGCCCTCCTCGCTTCCATCGCCAACATAGTCCTCTACGTGATGTATCGACCACATCGTCCTACCTTCTCCATCCCGACGGAGTGGTGAGTGACCGACGATGAGAAGGTGGAGAGCAATGGTAGAGGAGAAGATGGACGGACAATGGAGGTTTCATCGTCGTCGGTGAGAGAAGAGAGTGCAGAGAAAATTCAATTTGAAATCAAAATTCATGGGTTTGAGGGTGAAATTGAAATACACGAGTTTTAGCCTTTTGAATTACGCAGGTGAAATACATGTATTTTTTTAAAATTTAATTACTTTTTATTTAAATAAAAACAAACAGTGATATTGAATTTAGAAGGTTGAAATTCAAATACATTTCACCAAATTCATGTTTCACCAAATTCATGTTCCCAAACTAACCATACTTTTCTCTCTTTTTTTTTTTCTTTTTCTTTCTATGTAGAGAAACATGGTTTTTGTTTAATAAAATCGTAAAAAGAATCAGAAATTAGATGTGCTATGTTTATGTGTGTGATTTATTGAATACTGTTTTTTTAGGTTTTTTTTTTTTTTTTTTCCTACTTCTCTTGAATAATGGTTTCATGGATAACTAGAGAATCATCTTGTTTAAAAAAAGGAAAAATGGAAAAACGAACTATTAGAGAATTCATAAATTTAGATATAATTTTTTTGTTTTTAGCCAATGTAGCAGATAGATTAACATGAAAGCTATACCAAACCGTTTTTCTTCCTTTTTGTTACACTTTAGCTTCCCTTAATAGATAAATAAAGTTTCAAGAAAGAGAACACTAGGAATTCATTGTAGGGCAGGATGTCCTACGTTATTTACTAAACCTGCAAGTGCCCTCCGTTTCTAAGCCTTGAGAACAAAGTCATCTAACTCCTTGAAGTTCTTCACTGCAAATTCCTTGATGACGTTTGGATCAGGAATCTCTTCACTTGCCCTCTCAAACTCACAGGACCATTTCACTGTCCCCCCTTCTCCCTTGGGAATCACATGGATCTTCCCCTTGAAAACCTTGTAGAATTTCAGCAGATCCCCATCAATGACACTGTATGCCACCCACCTCTCTGCATCATTTACAGCATCAATCTTCTCTTTGGATACTTTGACAATCGGAGAACCTGAAAACACAGCCATAGTTAGAGATAGGTATTTAGGTCAAGAACAACCAAAAAAATGCCTAAAATGTTCTGCAGGGATGTCCCAATGATTTGAGATTCTTAAATTGAAGGTCTTGTGTTCAAGCTTTAGTACAGACGGAGGAATATTCCCACCCAATTGCATAGCCCACATTCAAATACATCAAAAAGAAAAACACAAGGGCAATTGAATTTCACCTTCAGAATATGTTATGAGTCTTACAGATCCTGGCGCCTTCCCATCCCCTTCAAGCACTTCAATGCTCTTGTAGTCATGAGGGAAGGCCTTGGGGAAGACAGTGGTGGAGTCCCTAATGCATCCCCAGAACTTGTCTGCAGGGGACTTGAACTCAACATCTACGTGGAGCTGTCCAGAACCCATTGCTCTTTGGTGTGAGAGAAAAAGTCAGGAATCACAGAAAGAGAGAATCACTTAACTTGATGCTTAGTGTAGCCAGAAGACATGGTTTTATGGTGGAGGAAGAGATCTGGGATTTAGAAGAGGGCATTGAATTTGCATTGTACAAACCCAACTGCCCCATCCATTTGCCACAGACACGTTTATGTGAAGAAACTGCATTGAGCATGACACGTACTGATCTAATTTCAGAGCTAGTAGGTGAAGCAATAACTCTATGTGTTTCTGCCATCATGATCATCTTGGTCATTCCATTATTGGGGCCGGTGAGGGCAGGCACTGTCCATTAATTCATGAAATTTATAGTGTTTTTCCAAATCTGCGGTTCTTAACAATTAACCTTTACCATGTTCAGAAATGAGATATCAAATTGAAATGTTTTATGTTAATGTAAAGATTAATAAAGCATAATAGTGAATGCTCTTTTTTTTTTTTAAGCAACACATAGGGAATGGTTTAAGAGTGAAGAACTTGAATGGCACATGTATGGCATTTAAATTTGCCGACATAATTCCTGGAAAAAGGAAAATAGTATGTGATTGTTGATGTTTGCCTCTTCTGAATGTGGGAAAACTTTGTTGGCCTTTGTACATGAGATGCGTGGTGCTGGCTGGATGGCGGACCCATCTTAATGATGAGCCGATCATACAGAGTTATGTGAAATTTCAGGTTTAAATTCTCACTAACTAGTACTATATATATATATATATATTTATTTAAAAAAAATTAAGATATCTTGATATTAAAAATATTAAATTATCTAATTATAATTATTAAATACATGAAATATAATGTAAATCATAACTTTATCATATCATATGACTAATATTAAACGTCTTAATATTTTTAATATTATGATATCTTGATTTTTCCTTTTCTCATATATCATAATATATATTAGTCTCAAGTCTCAACTTTAAAAAAA